TATATAAAGGGCTTTATAGCTTCCTACTATATTGCTAAACAGCCTAATAAGCCTAAGGACACTATTCCTATTCCGAAGAGCTACAAGGAGGCGACTTAGTCGCTATACTAGCTATAATAGAAGGAGGCCTATAAGGCTAAATATAAGTTACTAATCGACAACTATATATAGGTCTATATATCTCGGTTAGAGGTGCTAGAAGGTCGCAAGGTTGTCTGTAGCCGATAGGTGTTTACTATTAAGCGTAACGCTAATAGCAAGGTAAGCCGGTTTAAGGCTCGATAGGTCGTCCGTAGTTTTATATAGGTTGAAGGACAGGACTATAATAAGACCTATACGGCTATAGCTAAGCCGTCTACGCTACGAGCGCTGTTTGCACTAATCGCTTATTACGACCTAGAGGCTAAGTAGTACGATATTCTAACGGCCTTCCTTAATGCGCTTATCGGTAATAAGCATAAGATCTACGTCGAATAGCTATACGGTTTTAAGGACCGTAGTAGAAAGGGCATAGTTTGCCTATTGCTAAAGGCACTATATAGTCTAAAACAGTCGCTAATGCTATAGTACGAAGAGCTTCGAAAGTACCTAAAGAGCCTGGACTTTGTACTAATAATAGCTAATATATATATGTTTAAACACGTTGTTAGCGGCTCTATTATTGTTATCTATGTCGACGACATAATTATTATCGCCTATACTCTATTAGTACTAGAGGCAGTAGCTTAGTTACTAAAGGACCGTTTTAGTATACGAGAGCTAGGCGACCTATACTACTATCTTAGTATACGGATCATTCGTGACCGCGATTAGCGTACTATTCACGTCGTTTAAGATACCTATTTAAATAGGCTTAGTAAGAAGTATAGCATATAGGGCCGAGTGGCTCCTGCTATACTAATAGCACCTCGATACGTTAAGACATCGATTTAGCGTATATATAAGGGCTACACTGCTAGCGCTGCCTTTAAGACTTAGTATTAAGAAGGTATTAGTAAGGCGCTATAGCTAGCTATAATTACACGACCTAATGCTTGCTATACTATAGGCCTATTGTTACGATTTATCTCTAACCCGACCGAGGAACACTATACCGCGCTTCTTTAGCTAATTAAGTACCTAGTTAGTACTCTAAGCCGTAGCATACGCTTCTAAGGCATATAGAACGATAAGCTAAACTTTGCTAGTTACTATAACGCCTTATAGGCTAACGATCTAGTTACCCGCCGCTCTATAGGCGGCTTCTACTTTACTATTATAGGCGGACCTCTATTATATAAGTCCAGCCGCTAGACGCTTATTACACTGTCGTTAATAGAAGCTAAGTATGTTCAACTTACTATAGGGGCTAAGGAAGCAGTTACCTTAGCTCGTTTATTAAAGGAAATTGGCTATAAGGGCTATATTCTTCTAGTTACGCTCTACGAGGACAATTAGTCCGCTATTGCTATTACTAAGTCGACTAGCATTAATAGCCGCACAAAGCATATAGATGCTCGTATCTACTATATTCGAGAGAAGATTGCTAATAGTACTATTATCGTCTAATAGGTTAGCATATATAATTAGATAGCCGATAGCTTTACTAAGCCGCTTAACAAGGTTAAGCACGGCCGCTTTATTAAACAACTAAACCTAGTAGATTGCAAGGCCGCTATTGAGAATGCTATAAAGCTAGCTATTAAGTACTAAAGGGCCCTTGTTTGCTTTGTATAGATATAAGAATAGTCTAGTTTGTTCACCTGTTTTGTTTGATTACCTAATACCCTCCTGTTTGCTTTGCTAACTAAATAGCTAATAGGTTTGTTTCATTCTATAGCGATATACACGTACTAAGGGGGTAACTTAGAGTATATGTCTAGGTATTAGGGTCTATTACGTGCCTAATGCCTAAGGCTGCAACTGCTGCACTTCATCTTCGGACTTCTAGATAGATTAGTCCTTCTTCTAATACATTAGTTACATTAAGTGATTTAGGTAATTATACTCTAATATAAGACCCTACTAGATAACGATTTGCACTATACGGATGTTAATACCTACGCTAAGGGCGGTAGTAGCAATTATAATGCGGATAGTGCTATCCGCTACGCTAAACTTACGAAACCGCAGGTCCTAATCGTATATAGGTATAGCGGATATATAGAATTAGACAATTCTAAGAACGTTTAGTATAGGATTAGACCCATTTCCCTAATAATACTAGTTTTCTCGATATAGGTCCTTAGTCCAAAGTACTAGCTAGGCTCGAACGCGATTTATAAGCGCGATTACGTCCGGGCGACTATCGATAAAGATAATAGTCTTTAGTATCTCCGCTAGCGTAGCCCGTTACTCCGCTACGGACTAGGCTTCGCCCGTATTAGCTAGCGTAGCAGTAGACAAATTCGAGCCTATAGCGGATAGAGGCGAGCCCGCGGGGCTTACGGCCTTTTCGATTATAAAATATAACTAGCTATAAACCGACTTTGTATTTTTATCTAACTCTTTAAAGATATACGTATAGTTAACGCGATCGATGCTAGTCCGTAGCACTATAGAATAATATAGCTCGTACCCGACCGGTCTAAATCCGCTATAATTTAATATATAGGCTTAGGTTATAGCATCTAGGGTTCTAGTATAGCCAAACTATATATAGTCCTAGCGGAGAAGCTGCCTAAGCTGCGCGACTGTAAGGAATTCCTCGCGGAAGCTAGCCTATTTCGAAAGGAGATAAATTTCATCGAATACGACTAGCCCGATGCGTAAGGAAAGATTCGGATCCTTTAGGGTATCCTTAAAGTCGTTAGATACGGCCTACTCTAGGCCTAGAATAATATAATCGTACTAGCCCGCCCTAATTTTAGTAAACAAATCTAGATCCCGCCGCTTAGCCTTACTCGTAACTAGTACGGGATTAACGTATTCCTCTACGATCTTCTTTAAGTCCGCTTCTTACTCCGCCCCGAGCCGAGTAAGAGGTACTAACTAGATAGCAGTCTATCTAGTAAGTATAGTAAAAGCCTAGAAGATTAGGCTCTTACCTAAACTAGTCTTTACGACAAATAGGACATCCTATCGCTAGTAAATTAAGGCCCGCAGTATAGTAACCTAGATCCGATACGGCTTTTTCTTAGGCCGCTGTTTAGATAGTTTATACAATCGATTTAATATCTACCTTATTCTAGCTTCGATAATATCGAATTAGAGGTCGACTAAATCGGTATAGTCGACGGTATAAACTATCGCGCGAATAGATTTAAGAGTATAGTTATAGATTCGATTAACTACAAATCGAATAATCTCCCGTAGATCGGTATATACGACTCTTATAGAAAGCTCTACGGGAATGCTCTATAGCGTAGCGGACTTCTAGAGCTTGCCTAGCTAGAAACTATTCTAGATTCTCCGAGCTAATTTTCCCGATTTAGCTCCTATAAATTGCCCTCTAGTCGCGGCCCTTCTCTAACCCGTAACGCGTAGAGCCTACCCTACTCGCGGCATTAAAACCAGCTCGAGTATTACGGTATTCTAAACGTATCTCTTACTAACTCGGAGCTGCGATACCTAGCCGATAATATTAGGTAGGAGGACTACGAGCGCTAGACGGGATAGTATCGGGGGTAGATAAGAGTTATAGGAGCTTCTTCGCGGTATTATATTTACCCGCCGCGGATATTGTTTCGATCGTTACGGAGTTAGTTTATCGATCTACGGTCGTAGTAGGGTAGACGCGTCTAGCTTTAATATAGTAAGCGATATTCGATTTTCGCGTATATATAGATTTTCCCCGGCGAGTAGTAGACCTAAGTTCTTTAGATTTTCGGGGTAGATAGTTTTCGTAACTACGTAGGGCTTCACCGTAGCGGATTTTACGATTTCCGATATATAATAGTATTATAGCTAATAGCATCTACCTACTACTACGATTATCTATATACGCGTACTAAAACCCGATAGAAACGGATTAGACTAGTAATAAAGGGTGTTATATAGTCTGTACGGGAGTTTATTTAATTAGTATAGGGGTTAGAAAGTTTACTTGCGGGTTTAGAAAAGTCTGCTACGGAACACGTAATTCTATGTCACATGCACGAACACCCTTTGTTACTGGTCTAAGTGGAGATAGGCCAATAACCGCAAAAGCTTCGGACATATTCACCACGCTGTGACCGCCCTTGACGTGGCCCAGTCAGCGCGTCGCCCTTTCAGAGGAGAGCTCAGATGGATGATGGATCAGTCATGCTTTGGAGCTCGTATGGTTGCTGCGAACCGTTCCAATTGGATTCACACCTCGGATAATGAAAAAAACGAGATCGCGCCAAAGTGTAGGGCGAGCAGACTGTCGAGATAGAGAGAAATGGTTCTCCGTCTACCAAGACTTCACAGACCGGCGCGAAGTAAGTCAAAGGCCCCCGGCCTCGAAGACGCATAGGCTGATCATCTTCGTAGCGTGTTTGCGGCTCTGGTTTCATGCACAAGAGGAAATTTGAGGGAAAACCGGTACTACCCAAATGGCTCGAACCAGTGTTCAGCACATAATGCATCACACGAGGCTACAACACGGTACAGGAAGGAGGCAGAGCGTGTCTCTTACCTCTTCGCTGAGATGTGGCGTGACGCTGGATCAAGTGGGCCTCACATTCTCATATAGAGATGCCGCAATTGATCTCGACATTGCATATCAACTCGCATCTATTTCTAGCATCTTATTTGTCCTTCAGATGTCGTCGGTGCTACGCGTGGCCTGGGATATGAACTTGTGAAGCAGTATGCCGGCAGGAACAGCGCGTTCTGGACCACGAAAAGATGCACCTCCGGCCATGCAATGGATTGATGGCGTTGATATTGCAGAGACGTCCGCCGGGAAGAAGATAGTCGACGGCTTGCAAGGCCAAAAGCAAGATATTGTTATCATTCCCGTGGGCTATTTTGGCTGGGCCTGTCTTCGTATTTATATAGGGCTCTTGACATTGCCAGAATGAATTGGGACGGGCAGTGCACCAAGTTGATTCTACATAGTCTCGTCTGAAGCTGGTTCCATCACTTTGCGGCACGAGAGCGAAGGCGGGACATCATGCCTCAGTTTGAAACGACGTGAATGCCGATGGGATCGCCGTCGGCCTTGTTCATCCAGCGTTCATGAGGATCGTGGCCGAGATGACCGCCGGCGTGGGGTTCGATATATCTGTGTTGAGCGCCTCGAGGACCAGGGTATATGTTCATTCCAGAATCCAGAACTGAGAAAAGGCTCTTCCTGCCCCTTTCAGGGACTGTTGATTGACTTTCACAGGGATACCGGCACTGCAGACCCTATTTTCGGACTCGAGGACAAATTACCCACTCCTTTAACTTAACAATGAACCTTTATTACAATTGCCTTGGTAACTCTCTGAGAACTAATCAGCTTGCGACTTCACCACTTCATCGCAGGTGCGAGCTGCTCCCATGGCGCGGCCTTCTTCGGCTGGGAGTCGCATTGCTATGATCAAGTGGAATGCCAACCACGTACGAGCAGATAGGCGAAGGAGCGATTCCAGTCGATCGAACCGCTCATCTTCGCAGGCGACCGTCCGCGAAGAAGACGATTCTGCAGGCGACGCGAATCATGGCGACGTCAAGGCTTCCAATGAAACCAGTGACACGACAGATAAGCCAGACACTGCAAGCATCATCACCTTTTCGGACCCTGCCAATGTCACTCTATCCGTTCGACGCTTCAAGCGAGTCCGCTGGTGCAGTAGAGTCGAAAACATCGCACCCGTGAGGTATGCACGCCAATGCAATCCATGCTGGGCAGAAACTCCGCAAAGAACATTTCCTCAAAAGTCCACACTTACTTACTGAGCGAGTCATGTTGTAGGTTCTCCCTCTCACCCAGCGAAGTTGACGCATCGCAGTCGCACACGCCGTCCGGCGTCAATGTCTATGAATTCAAGCTTCCGAACTGCAACTGGTGGTGGAAATTCTGGCGTTCCGTATGCTGTTGCAAGAATCCCCCTCCATCAGAGAGAGAACACGCGGACAGTTACGACTTACCCACTAGTCCTGGTCCAGTGCCGAGGAAACGCTCGCCATCACCACCATCACCATCTCCAGGGCAGAATTCCCGTGGCGAAGATCCCACGTGAAGCGACCTCAGCTACGGGTCTTAGACTGAACGCCAAAATCTGCAGATGGCGCATGCAAAGCAACATGTCAGCCTCAAAGAATCCTGTCTTCACTGCGGTGCATATTCGGTTCCTGCACGCAACACAGAAGGCACCGATCTGCTTTCCGGCCCAGGACAAAACTACTCTCTTGCCACAGACCAACAACGAGATCAATCACGAAGCTCCCAGCAGCTTCACCGACATGTTCGAAACGAGATCTGCCAATGCCATATATCCATCCAGTTTACAAACACTCGGATACAGTCACTACCAACCATATCCAGCCAGACAAGGAGAACCGAAATCAAAAAAACTTCTGCCAAATCCCATCTCTGCTTCTACACCGACATGAAAGCTCTGGGTTCTGAATGCTTCAGCAATCATCGAGAATCGAGGCCCGGATGTGCACACATGATTGTCATGGAAGGGAAGGAGGCTTTGCTTTTGACGAGCATGGCTTTTTTTTTAGAAAAAAAATTTCTTCCCCTACCTGTATCCCCTTCCATGCCAGGACAAATTCCCTCCCGACCAAAAAACGAGCTCCCGCAAAGGAAAAATTTTTCCAGCCAGCAGGATTCGGCCACATCCAGACAAAAAGAACCGAAATCAAAAACTGCTATCAACCTCTCTCTCTCTCTCTCTTCACTTGCACCGACAAGGAAGCCCTAGCTCTGGATCTGGAGGATTCGACAATACAGGATGTTACCTCGAAGCCTCTTGAATCCTCCTCTCCTTTCCTTTCCGCGTTCGGGTTATACGACTACATCAAGACAACAAGAACCTCGGCGTCATCGAAAAGTCAAGGCTACCTGTCCGTCGCACCGAAAATGGAAGCCCTAGCTCTGGATCTGGGATGCGAGAAGCTGTTTGATAGCGCTTTTGGGATTCGAATTCAGCGTCAAGATCAAAGGGGGAGAAGAAGCAGGCTTGCCGGGATTCTGTAATGGTGTCATCGTCACTTAGGAATCGAGGTACGGATATGCATGAATGGAAGGAACCTGGAAAATTTTGCTTTTGATGCAGATTCATTGACGATTATGGATAGCTGTTACTCAGAAAAAAAAACAAAGAATCCGTATCCCACCCATTGCGCCGTGCGGAGGAGGGGAAAAAGGACAGCAAATCGCAGGACGAGATCGAGGTTCGAAGAATATAGATAGATAGATAGATATTTCATTTGCCTGTTGTAGTGCCTTTCGGCCTATATAGGTCTGTTTCTATATATTGTTTTGGGTAGGAAACTAACTTAGTTAGTAAAAACCTCCCTCCTATCCTATTTATAAGTGTTAATCTTCCTCGTTTCCTTGTTTTCCTTCCTCTAGGGTATACTAGTGTTATAGTTGTTACCCTCTAACTACCTTGCCTACTGCCCTACCCTTCTTTCCTCCTCTTCTTCCCTCCTTCTTATCTACTCCTTAGTTTCCCTTACTAGTATAAATTGTTGTATAAATCCCTGTTTAATAATCTACTTTACTATCCTCTTTAGGTCTTCTTTACTCTAGATTAGCTTATCGTATTCCCTTTCTATTGCTTTTAGTCTCTAATTACTTCTACCTTCTAACTATTAGGGGTAGACTAGTAGTATATACTTAGGGTTCTAAGATTGGTAGCTATATTAGTAAGCTCTACTTTCAATTCCTAGGACGTTTCTTCTAAATAGGTAAGATCTAAGTCTAATATATTCAGATCTAATTTAGATAGCTAGGCTTGCCTCGGCCCTGTTTAGGTCCTTATAGAGCTAGTAGTTATATTAACTAAATTTGATTAGTACCTTTAGGGTTCCTAGTCTAACTTATGTTTTGTTCTATTCCTACTCCTATAGGTATCTAGTAATTGATTCTACTAGGCTTTATTTCTCTCCCTTTAGCTTATCTTCCTTTAGCCTTATATTTAGTCCCTAAAGCTCCTTCTCTAGCATTTCTCTTATTAAGACTCTATATTGCTCTAGGTCTTTAACTTTCTAGGGAGTTATTTGTAGTCTGTCTCGCCTCCTAGTCCTAATATACTAGGCTTTTATCTTGTCTAGTGCCTTTTAGATAGTCTATTAGACTAGGTATTCTATTGTCTTTACTATATATTAGTATCTTAGTCCCTTAAAGTATTGTTTGACTAGTAGGATCCCTAATTCTATTTCTACTACCCTTGTTAGTATAGTTTTGTATACTCCTAGGATTTTCTTTAGGCTTTAGGTTTAGGACCTACTAACTAGTTGCTCAATCCTCTTTAGTGTTTTCTCCTAGGCTGTCTATATCTATGCTCTATATAGTATTGCTAGCTTAACAATTGCTTTGTATATAACTTTAGCTTTCTCGAATATAGCCCCCTATATAGAGGCTATAAGCCTATTAATGGATTGTATATTAGCATCTGCCCTCTACTTTGCCTTCTTTACTTATAGTCCCTAATTTAGTTTTAGATCTAGCTAGATCCCTAGTACCCTAAGCTCTACTAATAGTTAGGTTTTAAAGCCTTAGATAGTGATTGATTGCTTTATATTATAGGTTGATTTAGCCTTGCTAAAGTAGATAAGCTAGTACTTTTCTAGGGCGAATTTTGCTCTATACCTCCTTGCCTATTTTTTATACTCCTAGTGCTTCTCTTCTAGGATCTTGCAGTTGGTTTCTATTGTCTTAGACTAGGCTAGGATGTTTGTGTTATCTATAAACCCTAATGCTAATGTGTTTTTTAATTCTAGGAGTAGGAGTAGGTCTACTATAAAGATAAGGAAGAGGATTAGGGAGAGTATTAATCCTTAGGGGATTCCCTTTTCAGTTAGTATTAGGTCTAATTTGAATTTGCCTAGAATGAGCTATATTAATCTTTCCTATAGGAAGGACTAGATAAATTGGACTATCTAGTTTAGTATAGCTTTCTATTTAAGTATATATAGGAGCCTTTTATAGGAGATATTGTTAAAGGCTCCTAAGATGTTAAGGGAGAGGAGGGTTGCTACCTAGTTTTGACTATAGTGCTAGATATGCTTAATCTGTTCTATAATTAGTTCTATAGCTATTAGTATTAACCTCTTCTTTCTTCCTTCTATCTAGCCTTTAGGAAGGATGCTCCTTTCCTCGGTAAAGGTTGTTAGCCTTTTAGTAACAATTTTTTCTAGCACCTTGCCTATTGTATTAAGTAGGGCTATTAGTCTATAGGCCTTAAGCTATATATAGTCTTCCTTCTAGGGCTTCCTTAGCACTACTATTAGGGACTTCCTAAATAGTCTTAGGTAGTATCCTAGTACTAGGCTTTATAAAAAGATATTAGCTAGTGCTAGGGCTAGCCCTTTCCTATATGCTTTTAGAAGTTTGTTATAGATCTTGTCTTCTCCTAGTGCCTTATTGCTTAGAATTTTCTTTAGGATCCTTTTAATAGTTTCGGGTTTAACCTAGGTATCTCTTAGTATACCTAGCAGTAGAGTCTCTTGTTCTTTCTCCTTTATATCTAATAGGTCTGCTTATACTTTTCTATAGAAGAAGTGTTAGCCTAGGGCTCTTGCTTTCCCTTCTATTATAGTCTATATTTGTCCTTATTAGTCTATAATGTCCGGGAATTGTAGTAGTATGTTAGGGCTAAAGAGGCTATACGTAATTGGCATATAACTAGGCCGAGTGAAGCTAGGGTCTCGATGCCTTAGGCAGGGCTTGGCGCTTGGCGTTAGGCTAACTCTCCTACCTTCCTCCCTCTCCTTCTAGATCCTTATCGAATACTACTCGTACCCACTACTGCCCTATCTGCCTGCTAGTATACCCTTCTTATATAGTATTCGATCCGCCCTTTAAGGGTAGCAGCTAGATAGTCCTTGTTTTAAGCTTTTAGCGGTATAGCTACGAACAAGACTAATCTAACTATATTGCGCCCGAAGAACGGGACCTATACGTACTATTCCATCGAAACAACCGTACTAATTATTAAGCAAGGCCTTCTATACGGCCTATTACACTAAGTCAATCGTACTAGACTAATATCTACTAATTCCGCTATATCCGCATCTTAGGGGCTAATAATACATTATTAGTATTACCCCCTATTACAATAATAGCCGGCTTATTACGAAGCAACAACAACCGTGCTACCGCTAGTAGCGCTAGCAATAACAACGCTAGTAGCACAGTTCCCGCTAAAGTGCTAGCTAAAGTGCCTCCTACTAAAGAGCCTACCGGAGAGCCTATTAAAGAAGAACCTATAATTCTAGGTAACGACCTAGA